AAAAAAAAAAAAAAAAAAAAAAAAAAAAAAAGACTCCTCTTTTTCGCGTGCTGCGCTTAGCATACCAACCCGCGAGATAAAAAAAAAAAAAGAAAAATGGAGAAAGAAACAAAAACAAAGAAAAGGAAGCATGACCAAGTGAGAGTATGTAGAGGTCTATGATGATCATCATCAACTGCTGCTGCAGTGAAGCTCTAGTAAAATGTGCGAACAGACGGAGAACCAAAAACCGACTCGTGTCTCGACATAGTGTTAAGTAGTTTTTCACCATCCAAAAAAAGAAGAGAGTCCATTTTACACTGACCCAGGTTCTATCTGCACAGTGCCATGGAAAAAGAGAAATAAAAAAAAAAAAAAAAAAAGGAAATAACTTGTACACATTTTTTTTGGTTGACATTTAAAGAAGGGGGACAGAAATAAATAAATAAAAGAGCCGCAGTGAAAATAGCGGCTATCCACGAAATTGCTCCCCAAAATGAACGACGGATTGAACAAACTCACTTCCGTCGAGAGCGAGTACCTAGAGAAGAGCGGGAAAAAAAGAAGACAAAAATTCTTAACTCCACATGAAGATGTTTGCATCCACCAGGATGGGACCTGTGAACGAAATTGTTTGTCCACTGTTCAAGAGGAAATGAAACAAGACAAGGAATTTGCCCCCCCAGATGTTTATGTAAGTGAGGGGAGGATGGGGCAAGCGGTGCACCCCTCCAGCGTAGACTCAAGTGCAAGCTTTCCCTTAGATGCAGAAGTGGAGGAAGAAGATTCTGAGACACTCCAAGTCATAAAGCAGCTCAGTTCTATTCGTATCGACTCAGACTCGGACAGCTCCATCGGGGGGGATAAGGTGGTTTGTAATAAAAAGGAAAATACACCAAAAAAGAGGAATAAAAAAAAAAGGGGGAAAAACACAATTATACCCTTGTGGGATAATGCGAATGTGGAATGCGTGGAGGATGCCATCGTGTACGACGAGTCGAGTAGGCCCTTCACGTGCTTATCCATGTGCTCCTTTTGCTTTGTTCCTCCCTCGTGGGTAGCGCTTTATGGCGTCTTCTTCCGTTACGAAGTAGTGGGAGGGAAGGAAATAACGCGCAGTTGACCACAACAGGGAGAGTACTTCTAATAGGGCAAAATGACGAAGTGGTTTTTTTTTTTTTTTTTTTTTTTTTTTTTTTTTTCACAATAGAGGACACGGATTTCCCCGATCTGCTGCAACTCTTCGAGGAATACAACGAGAAGTATTTTTTTAACAAGTTGAAGTCAGTGCAGGTGAAGTGGAGCAACAAAATGAAGTTATGCGCAGGGATTTGTATATTCAAGGTGCGTGCAGTTGGGGGTGTCACCACAACCCAGTGTGTGTACTCCGCGGTTCGTGATAATGTGCTAGCGCTCCACAAATAGGTCCATTTTAAATGCAGATCTCTCTTCCCACAGGGGAAGGTTACTCGTAATCGTGTGTCCTCCTTTTGCGCAGCGCTTTTCTCCCCCTATGGCCATTTTTTCCCCCACCTCTTGTCTTTTCAGAAATCAGGCTACTGCTGCATTCGTCTATCCCTCCCACTTTTGAAGCTGCGGAAGATAAAGGAGTACCGGGTGGGCATGCATAAATACATTTGTGGACTGGCCCGTGCTGGTCTAATTTCCCCCCCTTTGTAGTGTGACCAGTTTCGAGTGCAACACACAAAAATGCTCATTCCGCAGGAGACCCTACTGCACGAAATGATTCATGCGTTCCTCTTTCTAACGAGAAGTAATTCGCGACATGATGGACACGGACCGGTAAGTGGTGTTCCCCTTTTGGCAAGGCCCCTCGTTTTTTTTTTTTTTTTCCCAGCGTAACCAAGCTGAAGAGAAGCGAGTAGAAGAAAAAACGTTACTTATTTACTTCATTTTTTTTTTTTTCGGACTTTTCCCTTTGCAGGAGTTCAAAAAGCACATGTACAGAATTAACAAAGCGACGGGGTTGTGCATTACGATATATCACAGCTTTCACAAGGAGGTGAATTTTTACAGGAACCATGTCTGGCGGTGCACGGTTAGGCAGGGGGAGAGTCACCTCGTCCGAATGGAGAGGAGTCTACTTCTTCACCTGAGTGAATGACTCACAGGGTTGCTTTACAAGAGACAGCATCTCAGGGGCCTAGTAGAATAGCCTTTTACATACACCCCAACGATGTAACAAGTTCGCTAATTTTTCTCCCCCCTCAATAAAAAAAAGGGCGTCTGCAGAACTTACCCACCCCACTTTGGGTACGTCAAAAGGTCTATGAATAGGCCCCCCGGCCCCAAGGAAAAGTGGTGTAAGTTTAGGAAAGAAAAAAAAAAAAAAAATGGGAAAAAAAGGAGTCGCGCCGTGGAGGCGGTAGGGTACGAAAACATCACCACGGAGGAGCGCTTTAAATGAGAAGAAGTGTTTACTCACGTGTACACTCATGTGGGTAATTGATATCATTTGTGTACTCATTGATTTGTTTTTCCTTTTCGCCGCTCTGCAAAGGGAGAAGGCACTCCTCGTACTGCCGTGGCAATTTCGTTAAAGTGGAAGACGCACAAGAGGCTAAGAATGCAGACACGGTACATTTGAGCGAGCAGGGGGAGAGCTCCGGCACACTTGGGAAGGCGATGGACTCAACGCGCACGAAGGATAAGAAGACGAAGGGTAACTCTGCGCGATATTTGTAGCGAGCACGCCTGTGCGCACCGCGTCGCTCTTCACCGCTTCTCTCCCCTCACCGCTATGTTTTTCACCGCATCGCTCTCGTGGCCTCTACCCCCCGCGCAGGGAAAGACGGGTTTGGAAAACGGGCAGACAGGGTACAGACAGAAGTGCTGAACGACGCCATAGTTATTTTGGACACGAAGAAAAAAAATATGGAAAAGCAAAAAGAGGTGGACGAAATGAATATCATTAATTTAATAAAAACCCTTTTTAGTGACAACAAGCAGAAGGTGTGGTCCTTCCCGGACTTGTCTGTTGATTACCACAAGGCGTTTAAAAATGAAAACTACTTTGAAATAGACTAATGGGGATGGGGGCCAGATAACGGGGCCTTGCTGGTCCTTCCACTTCTCCGCCTTTACACAAAAAATTGGTTACGCGGGAAGATGCTGGAGTGGACGTGTGTGTGTGTATATATTATTTACACGAGTTAGAGGGGAGGGGGGGTGCCATATTCTCCTCCCTCAATGGGAGTATCCTCTCCCTATGATTAATCAAACCGATTTTGAAAACTTTTTAATTCTTGCACATGTGCAATGAAGCGTTTGCTCATACAAACACATGATGATTAGTGGAGGGGGGGGGGGTGAGGCATAGAGCCACATTGCCTTTCCCCCTCCCCCTACTTATACCAATTTGGAAAACCGTATTTTGTTGTGACCTTTTAAAATAGCAAAAAAATCCGCTATTCGATCATTTAACACATGCTCAGTTTTGTCTTTTTCACTTTTTCATTTTTCATTTTTCATTTTTCTTTTTGCTGGGTGTCACGTGCACACGCAGCGTATTGGTGACGTAGTTTTTCAATGCGGGGAGAGATGCAATTGCATGGAGCAAAAAAAAAAATTGTTATAAAATGGGCACACAAAACTTTGTCATGTATGGTTAATTCACGTGTCGCTTGGTTCCCTCATCGAAGGCGCGTAAAAAAAAAAAAACCGCTAAACCAGTCGGATCACTTCCAGACCTTGCGGTCGACGAGAGGACGGCCGGCGACAGACTCCTTTGAGCACCAGTAATCTTCTATAATGTGTTTATCAGCACTGTTGTTGACATCCAACTTTTTAAACACGTGGTACTCGAAGGAAGGATGGTCCTTCATCTCGAAAGGAATTTCTGTACCCCTGAAGAGCCACACTCCTTCAATATCATAGTCCTTGTTTTCACCTAGCACGGTGATAACGGCAAAAGAGTACTTGGAAAAATTATTGTCTAGCCTTTGCAAAAATCCACCAGCCATATTACAAGCAACGAAAGATATTTGGCATTCATCCTCTAACTTATCATATTTCATATAATATAGGGAGAAGCCTTTAGGGTCATAGGTCTTCCAAAAATGTGGCATGGCTACGTTGAGGAGATCCTTTTCATTACTAAACTTGTATTTCCATTCATCTAGAGAAAAGGATGATGGGGGTAACAAATCCAGTGGGTTTGCTTTCTTTGTTTTCTTTTCAGTTGGTTCATCACTTAATAATTCACATTCATCATCATCGTCATTTTTGTTGCCTTTCTTTTTATCTTTCTTGTTTTCATTGTTTGCATTTTTTTGTACATTCTTGTCTTGGGCACCTCCTTTCTTTCCTGCCTGCTGCTGTTGACTTGCAAAAACGTACTTGAACTGCTTCTGGTTACTTATGGTATTGTAGAGCCTGAACAAGTTTCCATATTTTTTTAAAAGGCTCTCATCGATTTTTTCTGATTTTATTGCAAAGCTTATAATCACACATATGAGTATATCAGCTAGGGTTATTCCATTTCCCACCATAAATTGGTTTAACAACAAATGGTTATTCAAACAGGCAAATGTTTCTTGTATGTGTTTCAGGGATTTTTCGTTTGTCTTATGGCTCATACAGCAACAGATTGGAATTTCCAATTCGTAGGTATTAAAATCTATCCACATATTTACTTGTGCCTCTTCAAAGGCTCCCTTTCCCAATAGGTTGTTCTCCCGCCTGATGCTACATAAGTATTTACTTATGGCATTACTTTCGAATAGGCTTCCATTGGGGGTTACTAAAACGGGGAGTCTACCCAGGGGGGAGTAATTAAGGAACTCCTCCTTCTTGTCATCCTTCCCAATTTCAAATTGGGGCATGTTCAACTTGACGTTGCAGAACGAGGCAACCGCTTGGACTTTCAGCGACCTTATGTCGTTCTTCGGGGCGAGTAGTTTCTAACGGGGAAGAAAAGCAAGAGGGAAGTAACATTAATGAGCAGTTCGACTGTCCGCCCAAATGGGACATATAAAATACACTCCTATGCGCATGCGGGGAAGATACACTTCTCTCCACAGTAACATAGATGTACCACGTTGCATAACGTCGTGCGCTCGTGGGGGGGATTGGTACAAACGGTGGAAAGTGCTTGGAGGCACCATTCCACTAACAACTCTCTTTTTTATTAATTTCTTGCAACTTTTCTCATGTCAGCTCAAACGCTACATGCTCTGGTTGCGTACGCCACTTGCGATGAGTCATGCGCAAATGCCTTTTTTGCTTGTTTTTTTTTTTTTTTTTCTCCTTACGAAATCCATTTTCCGTTGATTAGTTTTGCTTTGAGGGGATTGGTTGTCCTTCGGGAGGGCTCAAACACGTACGTATTTTATAAATATACGCAAGAAAGTTACGAATGTACGTAAAAATACGTTTATGCGAATTTGTTTAAATAAAATAAACTGCTTTTATTTTATACAAAGCTTGGTTGCCTAGGGAGAAATGGGCAAATTCACGGGGACTCAGGTCAAGTTTCAAGTAAAACTACTGATTAACTCTTTTGCTTTGTGAGAATATACAGAGGAATACCAAACTCAGGCAGTTAATTTTTTTCAAAATATTTTTATTTTTTAAAAAAATTATCAGCGGTGGTACGTCAACGTACGCTCTACATGTTGAAAAAAAAAAAATAAAAAAAAAAATGCAAATAATAGGGTGACGGGTCCAACAGTCGCGGGAACTTGTTTACTGTACGGGTAAATCTGCACTTGCGGTAGAGGCTCTGTCCTTTACGGGTTATATATATTTTTTTTTTTTTTTGTTTTTTTTGGCCCTACCCATAAAATTGTGTTTTTTTTTTCTATTTTCATATTGGCTTCGTTCATATGACTTCCCATTTTTTCAAATTGAAATGGGACATTCATCATGCGCATACGTATGTTTTATATACATACCCTTCGCAAAGCCGCGCAAGGGTTGGAACACTTAGCGGAAGAAAAACCCGTTTGTAAATATGCAAAGGACCATGTGATAAAGGTGTGATCGTGTCACCTATGTACCAACATTTTGAACTCATGTGACAAGGCTAAACATTTGGCGAAATGAAATTGTGGAAATGGTGGTAGAAATTGTATTGGTGCGCCCTTTCGCTAACAGCGTCACACTAACACTGGAAAAGAAAAGGTGTATGCCATAAACATATTGCCCCCCTTCCCCAATATGTACACAATTTAGAAAACCACCGAGTGATTTTCTCACACCATGGTCATCATTGGCATTTGTTCTTTTTTTGTTCTTTCTTAAGTTATGCAGTCAAATGCGTGGAGTACAAAACTCCCAACTTCGTGGGTGTAGCAGTTCTTAACCAATTTGTTAGCCAAATGGAATTTCTTTTTTTACCTGACCCGTTCATAATTTTTTTGTCCATAATTGTGACCCGTATGCAGAGGTCAAATTGCGCGATTTCGAACATTTGTGGCACCTCACCCCCGTTGTGATGATAATAAACGAAAACGGGAAATGGCACATACACGAAAATGCCCATTATTATGTTTTATTCTCTAACCATTATCACCATTTTTTACAAAAGGTTGTGTGCAAATTGTTTGCCGTTCAGGGGTATATAGCCAAAAAAAAAAAAAAAA